CCCAGTCATCGCCTTCCTCAACGAGCAATGTTAGCGGATATAGGGTCAGGCTGGAAAATAGCTAGCGGCGGTCAAACCAAAACATGGCATCAGTCAATGAAATCTACAACAGTTAGTCTAAGCCAGCCACGTAGGAAGGTGTAGACTTCCTGACTGGTTGGGGACCTCAGGACAGTAAAAACCAATGGTTGGAAACAATTGGTGACATGGCTCAAAATCGTCCTCAACGGCTGACTGGCGCAGATCCATCCACTCCTTGTGACTTAGGATTTCCAATGAAACTGTTTTGTTCTTCATTACTACTATTCCTTTGTCTCACACCTGTTTGCTGTCTCTATTATGCATTTCTTCTACTTTATTTTCTTGCTTTGTGTGCTACAAAGAGGGAGTGTGGCGACTTGAACTAGTGCACATATGTGCAAAGTTCTATGTCGAAAACAGCCAGACTACTACTGAAGACAAGCAATAGTATATACCTTCAAACTATTTTCACCTGTTTACTTGATCATCATTCATGGTATCAAATAGATCGAATATTGCTATCTGAAAATATTTTGGAATTCCGATGGAAACTTTGGTTAATTCTTACCACAAACTGTGATTTGTAAATGACACATCTGAAGCAATAACGGTTAGGTGTAGAGTATCAGGTAGGGAGAGAAAAGGTAGAGAATACTCATCGATTGAAGTGTCTAGGACAATGTTCGAGCATGTAACGTCCTATGATGAGCGATTTAGTTGGAAAAGAGTTAGGAGGGCTCGTTAATATTGAAAATATGAGTTTCAATCCATGAAATTTCTGACTACTCGTTTGAAGAATACAGTTAGGTCGGTATCGATAGACTGCCTAAGAGGGATTCTTGAGATCCCAGGAATTGACAGATGGAAAATTTTGGTAACATAGTTTAAAATCGTTCTTATTGAAGCGTATGCATTCACTATTTGTGATCTCCTCGACAAATTATACTCTTCATTGAGTAATGTAAAAGAAAATGAGTTCAGCGAATAGTTACTCTTTTAAGCGATGTCATTCTCAAGTTGTACAATCGCATATATAGATATAGTAAATTATCTTAGCAAGAAAAGAATTATTTCCATAGATGTGTCATTATTATTATTATCATATCCTTTAATTCCTAGAGGAACATAGGGCTCCAGCCACGCGTCTCTATTGCCTTCGGTTCTCTCCCAACTTTTTCACCCGCTCCAAGTCTACCCACATGCTTTCATCTCCTCTTCACATGACCTCCTCCAAGTCACCCTTCCACTGACGACCAACTCGCCGCTTCCCTTTCGGATTCCACTCGAGCAGTGGCTTGTCTAGTGATGTCACCTGATGGTTTCATAAGCGTATGGCCAATCCATCTCCATTTCTTCCTGCCTATTTGTTACACTATCAGTTCCTGCTGGGTTGGTTCGCTCATCGCCAGAGATCCCTGTTGCTGATCTTTTCTCGCCGGCCATCTGATGCTGAGTATTGAATGAAGACAACTGTTAATGAAGGTCTGAAGTTTGTTTGAGATGCTCTTGATGACGCGCAGTGCAAGTCTCTGATCCGTAGAGTGAGTAGCACTGACTGACTTCACATTGGAGTTGAAAATCCGGATGTTATTTTTGAAGCTGAGTGATGTTGACCTCCACACAGACTTAAGAGTAATGAAAGCTTGTCTTGCTTTCGCGATCCTCACTTTGATATCCTCTTCAGTTCCGTCGGCCTGTAGTTGAAACAATGCTTCTCAGGTTGGTAAAGGAGGCCGTGTCATTAGAATTGTAAATTTTAGATTTCATATTACATAATATAGAAAGCGTTAATCGAGTAGAACCTAAAATTTAATTATATAAGTGAGTTGAGTGACGTAATATAATTGACAGGGTTGAATAGAATTCAACTGGAATTCGAACAAGAGAGAGAGTCAAGTTAACAACAGCGGTAAAAAGAGGTAGAGATTTAATGAGGAGTAGGGAAAGAAAATAATACAATTAAGAAACAAAAATTATGTATTTGATGGGAATCTCGCTAAAAGAGTACGAATCAAATTCCTCCAAACTGCAGAAGCAAAAGCGATTCATACGTTAAATCCTGAACTCTGCACAGAAAATATATATATGCAACTGTACAACTTGAGAATGACATCGACAAAAAGAGGAACTCTTCACTAAACGCCTTTTTTTTATACATTGTACTCTCCATGAAGCTATTCTTTCTCACATTCATTTCCATTCTATTTATTTCTGTCTTTAAATGAGCTTTAAGGAAGTCTGACAAGTTGAAGTGGTGTGATTTTGTGTCGAATTCCAAGCTAAAATTCTCAATTATATATGACAAAGTAAACACTTTTACACTTTAATCTGGAAGCCTTCAATGAATGGTACGTAGAGTTAAAAATCCCATAAGGGATTGAAACAAAAAAGGGTTATACAATCAGACAATCACATCATCCTGAATATCAATCACAAAAAATTACAACAAAAGAGAGAACTTAATGCATTTATTCCCCTTGATGAATTTGAGTAAGGCAAGAACAACAGTAGGTTGTGTAGAATAATATGATACCAACATTGCTTATTTCGTTGGCTTCTCATCAGCTGCTGCCTACAGCCCAAATAAATAGATAGCAACAAATAGATGGTGTAGCAGCTATGGGTAGTCCACTTAGCCCTGTTTTAGAAAACATCTTCATATCCAACAATGAGAGCACAAGGTTGAAGCATGCGACTGACGATGACACAACTTCCTATTGTCGATGAAATATTTGTAGTGTGTAACAATGAAAGTCATGCTTGCTACCTACTCAGATTATTCAACGATGCACATACCAATATTGAATTTACTGTGGAACATGAAAATGATGGAATGTCCCGTTTTCTTGACATTGCCATGCAATGCATAGAAGATAGTAGTCTCAAGAGATCGGTTTACCGAAGGCTGACATGGAATGGATAATACTATTTATTTATTTAAACGCATAAAAACTTGGTACAATATGGCATCAAGAAGGATTCGCCACACAATAATAATAAAAGAACACAGATCAAAAGAAAGAAGATATATATATATATATAAGTAGAGAACGGATAAAGAACTTCATCTGGAAGGAAGACAGTCATGCCTTACCAGTTCAAACAGTATTGGGAAGGAAGGAAATTGCAACACGTGTAATAAATAGCACGCGATAAGTTTCATTGATTGTTTGTTGCTTTATTCAATTCATTGTGTGAGGGCTGAGATACTGCCCGGGCGCCCACACCGAAGCAGGTGGTTTTATTAAGGGACCACCCCCGAGCCATTGACTTGGAGTCTAATCCGCAAGGCAGCGGAGCAGCGTCAGGAGCTGCATTCCCATGGTTTCTGGTGACCCATATGGGTTCATACACCATTTGATCCGGTTGGATACTGTACCCCATGGTAACTGCTTTTAGTTTAACCGCTATCCAAACAACCTTCCTGACATGGTAGGACTTGCAGGGACAGAGTCCCAGTCAGTTTAGCATTTTGGGTCATTACGGCATTCAAGCCCGACGAGGTAGCAGTTATCGGCCGGGAATGGATATTACTAACATTTTAATAGTTTTTGTCGAAATAGCTATAAAAGAGCAGTAGTCAAGACTCTGTACTATAGAGCGAGGAGAATATGCTCTACAGAGAAATTAGAAGGAGAATTTACGATTCTCGAAAAGGCGTTGAAAAACAACGGTTATCCTCAAACATTCATTGACAAATATGGAAGATGTGAAAGCTCAAACATCAAACAAATCACAGTGGAAAAAACCTGTCTTCATTCAACTAGATTTTAAAGGTGAAAATATTGCAGTAATATTCAACTGAGCACATCGCTAGCCAGAGCCTGTCCTGGAGCTAAGTTGGTTTCCGTCTATCGAACAGCATGCTCTTTAGTGCAGTCAAAAGACGACAGATACCCTTCTCATGCTAACTCCAACCGTGTATACAAATTTCTTTGTATCTGGGGGGGGGAGTAGTTACATCGGGAGAATAGAAAGAAAGGCACACCTCCGATTTTCTGAACAATATGCTGAAACGCCCACGTCTCAAGGGCGTCTTATAATAGCGTTATTACCAGACATCTCCTTGATACGGGTCATGAAGTGGAAATCGCGAAATCCTTTAAAATTATCAGTGGACAAAGGGGCTCGACTGTTCTCAAGTTTGTCGAAGCAATTTCTATCAAACGATAGGAAACAGATTCATGTATTCAGAAAGAAGCAGTTATCAGTCTTCCCTTGCTAAACTGGTAACTGGATGTCTTTATTCTATCTTTCATTTGATGACGTAATCTTCGGCTCTAACCTCACTCCGCTCCTTTGATATAGTGTAATTTCGCTTGTCTCTGGTTTCTATGATTTGAGTTGAACTCAGTACATTGTTACCTAGTTTTTCAGTCGCTCTGCATCTTACGCATCTCTCGTCTTTATTACGCAACTCCGTCACCACTGTATGCATACACTTACTTTGTTTAAACTTGAACTGCCTGTGTAAAAACTATATAAGCGTAATTTTCTGAGTACTGTTCACTCATTGCGGAACCTTCTGTCAACTGGCATCATGAAAAATTTGCAAGTACGTTAAAACTTTTTTGTACGTAAACCTCATAATTTATTTAGGCTGTAAGCAGCAGCAGCAGCAGCTGATGAGAAGTCAACGAAACAAGCAATGATGGTATACTGTATTATTCTGCACAAACCCGCCTATTGTTCTTACTTTATACAAACAAAAGAGAGAAGAGTAGACATACTACTAAAAATCCATTTTTCTTCTTTCTTTTCTATACAAATATGAGTATGTGATATATGTACAAAAATATAGTAGATCCTAGACAAAATCACAACAACAAAAGAACTAGTCAGACAAAACAAATAAGGAAAAAAAAGAAAGCGCGAAAGAGGGAGAGAGAGAGAGAGGGGGAGAGGCCAAAACAGTCCATTATTGGCCTAAGTATATTACATATATATTTGTCTATTCATCTATCTATCTATCTACAAAGCTAATGAAACAATGTAAAATTAACTAAGCGTAACATCCATACAAGATACGGTAAAGGAATATAATTACAAGTATTAAATCGAATCTCCCCACTATTCATCACAATTGGCATCAATGGTGAAATAGAATAATCTGTTAAAAGAGTATTCACTTTATTATCATTATTATTGTCATTGTTATTAGTATTAGTGTTATTATTATTAATAAATTCACAACCTAGATAGGTATGTATACTGAATGGGCTAACTGAATCAATTAAATGAATTGCTTTAATTCTATCAGCTGGTATAAATGAAGAATATAATCTTCGACCAGTGAAATAATAACTTGATGTTTGTAAACCATAACCAGATATCACTAGAAGAGATTCTGTACAAAATAAACAAACAAGGAAGCAAATAAAACAAAGTGTTGATCAATATTTCAATAATAATAATGATAATAATAATAATAGTAACATTTAAGCCTTAGTTTGTAGTAAATTCATTCAATTCAAGTTATATCAGTTACTTGAATATCAATGAGATCTCAATGACGACTGGCCCTATTCAGGTGGAAAGTCGTGACCAGTAGGGTGCAGCAGGTCGGGTGTGAGGAGAAATACTCCCGAAGACATTGGCTAGCGGTTGCGCTATATCGTGAATTGGCAGAAGTTAGAATTCATGGGCCATTGGATCGGGTCCCAGTGGCTGATGAATGGTCTACGAGCTGGCTCGCCTTGTAACCAGAAGGTCCTAGGTTCGAACCTCGTGGTGTGGGTGTGTACTGATGAAGAGTCTCAAACTAGGACGAAACAGCTATCCAGTACTCAGAGGTTTTCCAATGCTTCTCTAACCAATGTCAGCTCATGATGAAATCCTGTAGCCAATCAACCAAATCCATACAAGCCAATACTTGAATTATATCAGTTAGACAGCTATCGAAAACCAGAGAGGAGTATTGGACGATCAATTTTGTCTTAGTTTGAAAAATATTCAACAGTATAAGTATAAAACTTGGGCACTGTGGAGGTAGAGTATAACTCCATTATGGATAAGATTTTATTTTGATAAGTCGCACAGTGTTATACAGTAATATTAACTGATGACCGCGTTTCGAGCACAAATTATTACTGCTCACAATCATATCAAGCTACTCACACAACTGTTTCCTTCATTTATACACATGTGTAGGAGAAAGTAAACTACACACTAGCGTTTATAAAAAAACCAACTCATTCTAATATATATTTAAGCTTTAATTCATTTCATCCGTTTGTTGTCTGTTAAGGCAGGCTTAGTTAAGTGTTTAACAAACCGAGCAGTAGCACGAAGTAGCACAAAAAAGGCCTAAATGATGAAATAAAACAGATAGAAGAAGCGTTGGTGTTGAATAACTATCCTATAAAATTCATTAGGAAGATCGAAAAAGGCCAAAAGCAAAATAAAAATTGTGAAACTAGTAATAATAACATAAATAAGAGAGAATATAAGTCATCCACAGTTATACCATATAAGAGGGGACATCTGAGACCCTACGTAGGATTCTTAATGAAGCAGGAATTAGGGTGGCATTCAAACCTACAAACTCACTCAAAGACACGCTCTGTAGGCTGAAAGACCCGGTGGACCCAATTAGACAAAATAATATACTTTACAAATATCCTGGAATGACTGTGAGGTCAACTACATAGGTCAAACTAGTAGGTCAGGGGTAGTCAGATTATCAGAACATAAGAATTTAGCTAAGGTGAGAATGGTTGACCCCGAGAAGATAAGTAATTTAGAAAAAAGCTCAGCAATTGCACTTCACGCATTAACACACAACCACACAATAGGGGGAAAGGGTTACGATTCTAAGAAGCAATCTATGTAGGTGTAGAGAGAGAGATTGATTACTGAATCCTAGTTCATTAAGTCTACACCCAACACATGCAACAGAAATGACTCAATACAAATACAAGAAATATGGAAGATTTTATTACCGCTAGTCAAATCATAGGAGGATAATAAATAATCTCAAAATTCTACTTCAATTCGCGTACGTCATAACATTCTAACAAGTTACTCGTTTTGACTATAAAGACACTCGTCTTATTTCCCATCTGATTGTCTGTCTGTCTGTCTGTTTTCGACATAGAACTTTGCACAAATGTGCGGAAGTTCAAGTCGCCACATTCCGTGTAGCACGCGAAGCAAGAGAAGAAAGTACAAGAAAAGCATAATAGAAACAGTGAGCAGAGGTGTGAGACAAAGGAGTAATAAAGAAACACAAAACAATTTCATTGAAGATCATAAGTCACAGGGAGTGGATGCATCTGCGCCACTGAGAACGATTTTGAGCCATGTCACCAATTGTTTCCAACCATAGATTTTTACCGTCCCGAGGACCCCAGCCTGGAAGTCTACACCTTCCTACGTGGCTAAGACCAACTGTTGTGGATTTCATTGACTGATGCCAAGTTTTTGTTTGACCGCCGCGAGCTTTTTTCCAGCCTGACCCTACATCCGCTAACATAGCTCGTCGAGGGAGGCGATGACTTGGCATACGTAACACATGTCCTAACCATCTCAGTCTTTGTAGCTTCACGACTTCGTCGATTGATTTCCCCTGTTTACCTAGAACTCTACGCCTAACCTCCATGTTGCTCACCTTATTATGCCACTTTACACGGGAAATAGAACGCAGGCACCTATGATCAAAGGCAGCTAGTCTTTTCATGTCTTCCACTCTCAGTGGCCAGGTCTCACAATGGAACTATAACACTCATATTATTATTTCTGAATGAACATTATCACATATTGATTTAGAACAAATAAAATTAAAATTTAAACCAATTATGGTGTCTTGTCTATAGGATAATACGATGGTGAATATAAATTGTGCAATTAGTCATAATAGTAGTAATGAAAATATTAATAGTAGTAATAATAATAATGGTCTAATCAATAATAAGGTTGAAAAAGTGGGGCAATCTGTGATAACACGAATAATGAAAAACAGTATGATTAAACAAACAAATGTTCAGGTGGACATAGTAATCGATAAAGGCTAGTAAAAACAAATGAACCGATTAAGTAATGTTGGATTGTAAGGGAAGGAAATGAAACACGTTTATAATGAAGATAAGATTAAGGGATGATAAGAAAGGGGTTGGAAATATAAACAAGGGGTGGTGTAGAAGTCTTTAGTTGGTTATGTCTTAATAAGCCAAGGGGGGATAATCGCTGTACGAACTTTTTTTGAATGCATAGTTTAGGTTTAATTGTTCGAATGCCTATCGCCTCAGCTGTGTGCAATAGACGAATACGAAGTCCATTAGAAAGATTCGGTGGGATACGGTGATTGATTTCTTGACTGATTATTTTCTATTCAAATATCTAGTCAATTCCACATATATATATATATATATATATATATATATATATATATATATATATAAATGAAGGAAAAAGTTGTGCGAGTAACTTAATATGATTATGAGCAATAATTTGTGCTCGAAAAGCGGTCGCATCAGTTAATATTACTGTGTAACACTGTTTGAATTATCAGAATAAAATCTTGTCTATAATGGAGTTATTCAACAGTACTCAACCCATAACCCCACAGGAGATCAAACCCAGGTGTCCTCCAAATTGTGAGATGAGCCTGTGGGATAATTAGTGAAGAAGCCCAAACTAGAAAGAAAGGGTTATTCAGTACTCCCGAGTTTCTAATGGTTCTCTAACTGGTGTCAATTCGTAATCTAAGATGACATCAATAAATAACAATAATAACTTTGTTAGTACTGAGAAAACACTTTCACTTTCTTTGATTCCTAAAACAAGCACCAAAGAGCAGATTTGCAAAAGCAAATGTTTTGTAGCTCTATTCGGACTTCTGTTTGGAGTTACAGTAACTGATGTCAACCCAGTATGACGTATAATAAATACTTCAGAGTAAATGAAGACACTGAAGTTTTTGTTCAATTGAAGTGCTTCATTACGTGTTCCGGGTACTGGTGAAGGTTGTTGATTAGCCGCGCAAAACATCTGATTCATAAATGGTTTCACTGACAGTAGACTTATTGAGTCGTGATTTCGAGCGACCACCAACCAATGTCATAGGCGGGAAATCCTTACAAACCAACTCTTGAAAATTAGTCTGATGCTTGCTAGTGACTTGCTACAGAACAAAGTTTCCTGGAGTTCTAATGACCAGTGAGGTCCATCCTGCCAAGTGTGAGGATGGATGTCCCATCGATGACATTGGTTGGTGCCAGTCACACTAAAAGCACGGAGTAATAGAAGTTAAAATTCATGAGACGGCCACTGAATGGTATACAAGCTTGCCTTGTAACCGGAAGGTCCTGGGTTCTGACCCCAGTGAGTGAGTACTGACGAGGATTCCCAAACTGAGACGAAACAGCTGTCCAGCACTCCCAGTGCCGGTTTTCAATGTTTCTCTAATTGATATCAATCCATGGGCAAACTCGAAAAATAAATCTAATCCTTACAAACCAACTCTTGAATATAATAATAACTTTATTCTGGAAAACGCGTTTATCCACAGTGTAGAAACTGCAAGTGAAACAATAACTGATAATATATCGTTGGAGGCAGTACTGTCCAACCTAAAGCAAAATCCAATCTCACAGCAATTTTCCCTCGTTTCTTTTGAAAATTCTATCATAGTAGACTGAAATACCTTTAGAAATGGGAATGAGTACCGACTACGATCCAGAGAATAATTAGATGATCAGAATAATATGAAACAGAGCAAATTTATTGTATTTCGTAGGATGGAAAAAGAAGTAGCTAAATGACTTAAATAGACCGCTAAGTATTACCTAAACTCATATTGTTTTATTTAAGTTCCAGATTTGCCTTAGTTCTGGCAATCTTGTTCATACAAAATAATAACTATAATTCTTGTTTTACTCTTCATGATTGTAAATTACATGCGCTTTAGTCAACATGAAGTGCTAGAGGATTGGTTTAAAAATGCTGATTCTGAAACCTTGTCTAGTTTACTAGTTTATCGTACCCGTTAACTAGCTAGTCCTAAGCCCGAAAAAAGCGGGCGTAGGACTAGCGATTCTACCCGGAAAATTAATCTAATCTCTACAAAAACTTCAAAGGAAAGAAAGAAAAGTACAAGAAAATAAACATAAATCCTGAAACCAGCGTATAAAGATTCTAGCATCATGAAATACCGACAATTTAACTGAGCTTATGAAGCGAGTTATGCTGGCCATTGTTCTAGGAAATTGGTTTTTCGTGCTCTGGAACACCTACCAGTGTGGCTAAATAATGGTGTAGTAAAAACCATCAACAGTTCGATATTAGAGCACCTGGTCTAAACTGGCCATAAAGCTAACATTAAAGAATCTTTTTCTATTAGCTACCGAGAGTACCAAATAACTGGCTAAAAACCGCATAATCCAAACAGCACAGACTATTGCAATTCGTCTGAAACAGCCGCTGCTCTGTGTACAGAAGAAACAGGTCCAACCACTATTACTGCCCTGGCCTGCTGTGGAGTTTGCAAATTCATAAATGCCTTATTACATCGGCTTTTTTCGATATGGACCTCCATCCTGTACCTATAAACTCCTTTACCCCCTGTCATTACACTCGCATTAACTAACCTTTTGTTTTCTTATTTAAATGTAACTGTTAACTTACACGCTGACGCACGTACACAACGTACATAAAATTGAACCCTTATTAATATATGTGTAAAACTTCAGCCTAAAAACTCAATTCGAAACAAACTTTGTCGGTGAAAGGATCAATCCTGTAAAGCCTTCATATCAAAACAATTTAGTTTATCTAATACCCTGTCTGCAATGATTGTCACGTCAAATACATAGGTCAAACTAGTAGAACAGGGGCAGTCAGACTAGCCGAGCATAAAACCCTAGCAAAATCTAGATTAGTTGAACCGAATAACATAAGAATTCTAGAGAATGGTTCAGTCGTAGATAGCACTACATGCAATTACACACAACCATACAATAGAATGGATGGGATAACATGACAGTTTTAAAATCTAATGTCACAGCTGGATGGAGGGAGGGAGAGATTGATAGCAACGGATGCCTTGTTTATCGAATCAACTGCAAATACATGTAATAGGAATGATTCAACACCTCTCCCAGATATCTGGAAAATTCTACTACCCACACGACAAATAAGGAAGAACACAGAAAACTATATAACTCAAGTTTTGAAGTTGTGTGATTATAATTGATATGATTATGAACAATAAATTTTGTTCGAAACGTCATCCAGTAAATAATAGTGTTTCACTGTGTGATACATCTAATAAACAAACTAATATGGAAAAATTCAACCCTCAAATGTTTTTTTCTCTGCCCCCGTCTTTGACATGATCATTCATCCATCCGAAGTTTATAATCAATATGGATAGAATTTAATATAAAGATGACTGATGAGAATTTATTACTATACATTCTTTGTCATGCATAATCATCGACTTTGTAATATTGATGTTCAATTTAGTATTACAATTTTACATATTACCACATACACACATATATTTTGGACTACACTACATTAAAAATCTAATTGAAAATAACTTCTGATCTAAATGATTCGGTGTTACTGTTTTTAAAAACCACCAATGTTGTCAATAACAATCATGCTTTCATTATTATGGATACATATATGACTGTAGAATCTGATGATGAAGTTATCGAAACGAATATTCCTTGTTCAATAGTCAATCTTTTGAAATTTCGAATAAGCATCTTTAATCAATACTAACAATTGTTTCATAGAGACACTCAGTTGAGCAGCATACCTTCGACATCGATATCAGTGCTAACTAAAGCTGGACATCAATACCGATAGGGTTTACGGATAAACTCAAATAGATGTAAATGAAATGTTGCTAAGCTACTCAAATACATTTGAATAAATGTATCCAAATACTTGTTCATTCATATTCCTGCCTTTTGAATAACTGAGCAACATGCCGGTTCCAACCGATATCTGCTGCTTTAATGTGATGGTGGCTCTTGCATATTGAAATCACCCAATGAATTACACTGGTTGGAACCAAATGTCCCTAGACATCTTATCATGCCATCTCAGTCAACATGTCGGTTACTTTCAGTACTTTCGGAAAAGTACTTCCTTTAAACTGAAAAATGAAGATAGACTTAGGCATAAACTTATGTATGGCTACAGGTTTGTAATGTACTTGGCATAATATACTACATTTAAAACTAAATATAATGAAGGCAGCAAGAAAAATGAATAGCACAGTTCACCTTTGAGCTATATGGCTAAACTTACCTTCAATAACAGTGTTGCGCAAATGCGTATAGATAGAAATAACAAACGAAAAGAACAAGATGAATTGGATGAGGTAGGACTGAAAGACAGGAAAAATAAAATAAAATTTTTACAATGTTACTTCATAAAGCCGGAACGAAATAATTTAAGTATTGGTTTTGTAGGGATTTTGTTTGATTGCATGGAGGATTTAATCATGAGCTGACATCAGTTAGAGTTCAGTACTCCCAGGTTTTCCAGTGGTTCTCTAACTGACGTCAGCTCATGATTAAATCCTCCATGAAATAATTTAACAAAAACAAACTGATAAAAGTTTGCACTCCCCTCCTCTGTAGTGATTATAATCGCCAGCTTTATTCTCACTCAATAACAATTTTAATCTTATCAAATTCCGAACCATTTTTTTTTCTTTTGTGCCATTGAGTACTACGTAATTTACAACTCTTAATTTTCACTTCTAAAGCCACTTCTGAGTAATTACATCAATTATATCACTTATAACTCAATAATATACCACTATATATTTTTTGGTAAGTATAAATGCGACTGTACAGCCTCTGATGATGTCGTCGATAAAAAAATCTTCTCCTCTGAATTTGTCTTTTATTTTCTTCATGACTCAATGGATATTTTCGGTGATTTAATAGCTATCTAATTACACATTATACCTGTCAAGATAGGAAAGAATCCCGGAAAAGCGGACTTCATCACCAACAGATGTCAGTTACGGAGTTATTGAAAACCAATAAACAATAATAGACATCTATTTCATCTGACTTCTTCAGCCGGCAACAGTTCAGAATTATCAACTAAAAAGGAATCAAACCCAGAACAATCAAATGATGCGGTGTCCATGTTTCAATGCACCTATAATTTGTAATACTATAGCACTCACCCTTAATGACCTTATAGATTACGATTTCCCATTGAAACTTTGGAAACTTTAATTTGACACCATTAACTGGTGAATTCTTAACCGATTGTGTGAGGTTTGTGAAGAATGAAAATGATAGATTCCTACTTTTGATGGTTTTTAAAGTAAGACAAAAACAACTATTCATCACTAGTGAGTTCCCAATCATTTTTAGATGCTATTTGGTTTACGACGAGGTTTATCTTTAGATCAGTCTAGCCCTCATAAACTGAACCTCAATAATCAGTAATATTTTGAATGTGTCCATGTCAAAATAAACAATTTTTCTACAAATTATAATAATTCGCTGCAGATCCACCAAAAGATATCAATGTCAATAAACTAATCGATTGGTAGTAGATGTTTCCGTGAAACCTAATTATGTTGATTTAGATTTAATCAACTAAGGAAATCACTAAAAATCACTCTACTTCAAGGACTTCCCAGGAGAGAACACCCGTGATCTCCAGCGAGGATCCAACCCAAGATCTTAATACACAGAGCCGTAAAGCAGGACCACATAGAGCTGTTCAGCAATCGCTTATTTCAAGTTAGTTTCTAGCCTATATCGTTTTGTGACTACATTAATCAAACTTCTTTACAAACCTAATGCCTTATACAGTTTTTGGCCGGTAATAAAATCCAAAAACATTCAGTATACATGGTAGGATATATCCTTTTGTATAACTAGTAATTCAACTTACTAATAACTTATACAAACATAGTCATACTTCAAACAATTGTAAATATATAAGTAATCAAAAAAAATTAGAAAGAACGAGGGACAACTAACCTACCTGGGTAATATAACCGATAATACAACAGAATAACATACAGACTAGTGTAAAAAATAATCGGAGCAGTATGGATACATTATGATACAGTTTTACTTCAATCCATGCAGGAGTAGATTGATATTTCATATATACACTTGAATCCTCATTTTGGTTATGACCATTATTATTATTATCATTATTATTTATGACGATTTGAAGAGATTAACGGATACAACGTTAAACAGTTTTTTAAACTCGTTTGATTAGGAAACCGGTAGAGTAAATCACAACCACAAGGAGATGAAATAGTAGTGATAAGTCATCAATTATCCTTTCGAAGGAATAAATATACAAAATGGAGAAAAATAGACAAGGGTTAAATTAAACTTAATGTTAATTACAATTACTATTGAGTCAAATCAATATACCAAGTTTGATAACGAACTAACTTCAGGTAAAGAACCATTGAGAAACAGCAAGTACTGGTCAGCTGTTTTGTCCTTGTTTGAGAGGCATCCACGACTCCACCAAAATCTCCAAGGCAGCTCGTTGACCACTGAGTTGCTGAGCTGGAATTTAATAACCCGTGAACTTTAACTTCTGTCAGTTTGCTAAGCAGCTCTACTATGGGTCGTTGAATTCCGACTCAGTGTGTCAAAGAGCTGGTCTTGTAAACCGAAGATCCAGGTTCGTCCGTGGTGGCATCATGAGTGTGTACTGTGAAATAGTCCCAAACTAAAATGAAACGACTGTCCAGTGCTTCATGGTCTTCAATAGTTCTCTTACTGAAGTCAGTTCATGATCAACTTCGAAATCAATGGATTCCGTGAAAACCAATACTTTAATCAATATATATTCAAAAGCAATATGTTTATCAATGTTTAACTTGATTTTCCTTACTCTTTTCTTATTTAACTTGATCTTCTGAGTTCAGTTTACTGTATTTTATCACATACAATATTATCTTTCCGTAATAACTTTAATTCAAACCAAGCTTTAATCTGATTTGAAATCTTTAATCGCCATGCTCTATTACATTCCTTTTCTATTATTATTAAATTCTCTGCTTATTTATGCAAGCTCCAAGTTCACGCCCAAATTCATACATATGCGGAACTTATTAACCCTGCCCTGTCTCAAACAACTTTTAACTTTATCACGACACTATTTTGCTACACTTTACTGATCCATTGAGTGGAGACAAAGCACACCAGGCTAAGCAGCGAACTTTCAGGCAACAAGTCAAGGGTTTGAATCCTGCACCACCTACTTCAGCTTGAGCAATCGGGTAGGTTGCATCATAAAACGTCACACGATACATTCGACTCATAGCCCATCTGGCCCATTAAAGATCTGTCATTCATAACTGATTTCAAACGAACAAACAAAAGAACATCTACTGACTTCCGCTAATGAACTAAAGTGGGTTAGAATTTCGCCATAATGTGACATATAAATGTTAAATGTTGTACGCAGAAAAGGTGAAGGATGTCATAAAATAGACTTGGATTGTACTGTTTCAATGTTTATTTTTGGGCCGTTTTCAAGTAAATAGGGATATATATATATCAATTCAAGTGACCCGACCGATATCCGCTACCTTGACTTGGTGGTCGGGCTCGCACATAGTAATGACCCAACAAGCTACACCGGCTGGAACTATTGTTCCTGAAGGTCCTACCATGCCAGGAAGGTTGTTAGGATAGCGATTAGACTACAAGCA